CCATCCGGCCCCCCCCCGAGATCCCCGCCCTCAAGGTCGGCCCCCCCCTCCCCCCCCCGGGGGTTTTTTTTTGGGGGGGGGGGGGTTTGGAGGTTTGTTGGTGTGGGTGGGACCCCCGCCCGCTGACGGGGTGTGCGGCGCAGGGGGCTGGTGTTCGACGCCCTGTACGGGAACCTGCTGAAGGTGGATTCCCACGGGAACCTGCTGGTCTGCGCCCACGGCTTCCGATTCCTCAAGGGGTGAGTCTGGACCCCCGCCCGGGGGGACACGTGGGGGGACCCTCGGCGTGGGCCGCAGCTCCCTGCTCCCTCCCCAGGGCCGAAATCCTCCACTATTACCCCAACAAGTTCATCCAGCGGGACGACATGAAGCGCTTCCACATCCTCAACACCCTCTTCAACCTCACGGGTGAGCGAGACGCCACCGCCCCCGCGCCCCCCACCCCGTCGTGCCTGCCCAGCCCTAGCATTTATATAGTTGCTGTAGGATGCTGCTGAATGTGAAGAGATGCAGCACTGATGCCCCGCCTGCCCTCAGGGCTGGGGGGATTCAGCCCTGAGAACCCCATGGACCTTCCCAGTGCTGGTCAGAGGTGCCTATACTGTCCTTTCTGCAGAACTGCTAGCTTCTGCTTTCAGAAGAACTCTTAGCTGACAGGTACCAGTTTTGTTCTTTTGGGGAGAGATTAAATGCATTTCTTGAGACCAGTGATAATATTTTAGCTGTCTTATCTGCACAATGGCCTCTTTTCCTCATAGAAAGGGGAGACTAGCGATTATTGCAAATGATGGCAATATCCTTAGGCTCCTGCAGCCTTTTCGCAATGCAGATTTCTAGTGGTTCTCTTATAAATTACAGCCGATCTTTTGGAGAAGGGAAGAGGGGTACACGGGCTCAGTTTGAACTGGAGCTCTGGTCTCATTCTCTGCCAAATTTCTCTGCTCAGTTGCCAGAGATGATGCCACTCAGCAGCATTGCCTGCTTTTCACAGACACATGACTTAGAACAGGTACTGACCTGTCAAGCTCTGTGCACAGCAGCATCTTTGATAAAACTGACTCCCGGAACAGGCTCATTGTTTCCAGCTCCAGGGAGAATCAGAATTTGCACGTTTCAGAGGCCAGCCTTTATACCGATGGATCGTTCAAGCCAATTCCTGTGCTTTAAAGTTGGCTTTTAAGGCTTTTACAAAGTAGTGCACGGCTGGGGAAAGTCGTCGTCCCCCCCCCCCCCCCCCCCCTGCCCCCCCCCCCCCGGCACCCGCCAGGCCAAGACCCCGCAGCGCCCCTGGAGATCCTATTTCGACCTCATCGTGGTGGACACTCGCAAGCCGCTCTTCTTTGCCGAGGGCACCGTCCTGCGCCAAGTCAACACGGTGAGGACCCCTCCGCCGCCGCGGTGGGCACTGTCTGGGCATCGCGGGGCTCCCGTGGGCACGGCGGGGTGGATTTGCCGTTGGGTGGGCACAGGTAATGGTACCCCCCCCACCCCGGGGGGGCCTCTTGTCCCGCAGGACACGGGGAAGCTGCGCATCGGGACGTACACCGGCCCGCTCCAGCACTGCGCCGTCTACTCCGGCGGTGAGCGCCCGGCCAGGCTCCGCGGGCGGCGTGGGGGGGACGTGCCCCCGCCGTGGCCCTGACGTTCGGCTGCTGCAGGCTCCTCAGACGTGGTGTGTGACCTGCTGGGCGTGAAGGGCAAAGACATCCTCTACATGGGGGACCACATCTTCGGGGACATCCTCAAGTCCAAGAAGCGGCAGGGCTGGCGCACCTTCCTGGTGGTGCCCGAGCTGGCCCGCGAGCTGCAGGTCTGGACGGAGAAAAGCGGTGAGCAGCGCTCGGCCAGGGACACGGCCACGACACGGCCGAGCCCAGCTGGGGGAGGTGGCCCAGAGCCTCCTGCCCCCCTCGATGGCAAAACCGGCCCCAGCGGGCCGTGCCCCGATGCCCCGCATTGGCCATGCTGGGCAGCGGGAGACGTTGCTCGCACTGAGCCGGCCCCGTTGCCCTTGCAGAGCTGTTTGAGGAGCTGCGGAGCCTGGACCTCTTCCTGGCGGAGCTGTACCAGTGAGTGGGCACAGGGCGGGTAGGGGGCACTGGACGGGGTGCGGGCACCCGTGGGGACCCTCCAGGCGAGCCCCCAGCCGGGTGCCTCCCACTCCAGGCACTTGGACAGCAGCAGCAGCGAGCGCCCGGACATCAGCTCCATCAAGCGTCGGATCCAGGTGACGCCTGGGGGCACCGTCCCAGCCGGCGCACGGCTCAGCGCCCAGCACCGATCCCCACCGGCGGGGCATCGGGTGCCCTGACCATCCTGCTGTGCCCGCAGAAAGTCACGCATGAGATGGACATGTGCTACGGGAAGATGGGCAGCCTCTTCCGCTGCGGCTCGCGCCAGACGCTCTTTGCCAACCAGCTGATGCGCTACGCGGACCTCTACGCTGCCTCCTTCCTCAACTTTCTCTACTACCCCTTCAGCTACCTCTTCCGGGCACCCCCCGTCCTGGTAGGCAGCTCCCGGCCCCTCCTGCTCACCTGCCGTGCCTCAGTTTCCCTCCCTGCCTGAGGGGGTTATGGGGCTGTTGGGGGCATTTGGTGGGCACCCAACCCCTTGGCTGCTCCGTGCCAGCCCCTCACTGCACGCCTTCTCCCCGCTGCAGATGGCACACGAGTCGACGGTGGAGCACGGCCGCCTGGACATGGGAGAGGCAGGCCCGGCCCTGGTGCCCTGGCTGGCCCAGCACGGCCACCCCGACCAGCAGGTGGGTGGCAGGGGACGGAGGGGCAGAAGCACCCACTGGCCACAGGCATGGGAGTCCCAGCGCCGGCACCCCCATGCCAGTGGGGTCCTGTGCCCGCTGAGCCCCCACCTCTGTCTCAGGTCCCTGGGGTCCCCCAGGACTCCAGCGGGGAGGAGGAGGATGATGGAGAAGCCTGAGCCCCCCCAGCACTGACGGCTGCCGAGCTGGCAGGTGCCAGCCCCCGGCAGGGCACTCGGTGGCCCCAGCCCCTGCCCCACCTCACGCCTCTCCCCGCGCAGCAGCGCCCTTCTCCCCGACACCGCGCCAGGACAAGGGTCCCCCCCGAGCCCGCGGGCTGCCCGGCGCCCCCACCTTCGCTCGTGGCCCCCCCCAGCCCGCTTGATGATGCCGACGCCAGCAAAAGCCGGCAGCGCCGCTGCTCCGGGTGTCGCGGGAAGCCCGCTTTGGACGGGTCGGTGGTCCCAGCAGCTCCTGCCCCTCCAGCTGCGGTGCCTGGCCCCGGGTGCTGCCGTGGCGCTGGGACCTGTCTCCGGGTGGAGGTGGGTGGATGTTGCTCGAACATAGGAGGGCTCTGGGGGTGACGGCTGCTCCCTGAGGATCCCTTGTACCTGCTATTGCCCTCCTCTGTTTTCTGCCTTTTTCTGTTTATAAAAGATACTCGCTGGCACCACGGAGACATAAAATTGGCCATTTTAAAGGAAAACTGCTTTGCCGCCGAGCCTGGGAGGTGGGGGCAAAGGGCAGTTCCCAAATCCTCGGCCAGCAGCTGGGACAAGTGCAAGCCCCCGGGCAGAGGGTGGCAGCCCCAAGACCCCTCTGTCCTGGACCCTGTGCCTGCCGCGCTCCCCAGACCCCTGCCAGGACTTCCAGATCCTGCTCTAAGACTTCTTCCAGCATCAAGGTTTCTCAATAAAGATGCTGAGCCAGCGCTGGTGGTGGCTGTGTTGGGAGGAGGCAAAAGGGTGGGATGAGGACAGGCTCGCTGCTTGCCGGGGACGGGAAGGTGATGAGGGGGCTCCCCTTCGCGGCAGCGGTACCGCTTCGCCCCTCTTAGCAGAGCAGGGAAACGGTGCTGCCGCTCGCTCTGGGGGCGAGGGCAGCCCTGGCGGGGGGGGGGGACTGCTGCTGTAGGGGCCCTGAGCACTCTAACAGGGCTCAGCTGCCCTCGCTGGCCTGTCCCGGACCCCCAGCCCTGCCCGGGGCTGGGAGCCTGGCCACCCCACGGACCCCCCGCACCCGGGGTGCTGCCTTCAGCCTGCGCGGAAGCTGCCGCGGTCCTGCGGGCACCCAGCCCCTCCGCGGTCTGGCACAGCTCGAGACACGGGGTCTGTGCGTGCCTCTCGGCGGGGAACATCCAGCTGCTGTCCAGGTAGGGCACAAGGCAGCTCTGGAGCAAATCCCTCGGGACATTGCTTCCAAACCCCTGGAAGGTGCCTGGAGCGCTGCGGCATCTGACCGACATCGTCCTACGGCAGGGAAGTCGGAGCACGCATCACAGCAGAGGAGCCGAGGGCAGTCCCAGGGGACACAGCCCGTGTCTCCAACCTCGGACCTCGCACGCTACTCACTAGGCCACGCCGCATCTCTAGTGCGAGTTTTTATTTATTATATATTTATTACATATTTAAAACAGGGCTTATATATTTGAAACAGGCTTATTATGTGCCACCCCTACATATTTACATCTGAGAGGCAACAAGGAGTCAGTGGAGCGCGTGCAAGGCGGCACGGGGGAGCGAGCAGCCTGCGCCCCGCCGGCGATCCCTCAGCAGCACTCCGGGGGATACAAACTCAAACCCTCCAGCTCCGCCACCTCCGGCAAAGCCTTGTTTTTCCGGAAGAAGAACTGAGTCTCCTCCTCAGCATCCAGGATTTCACTGAGGGACGACACCACAGGGTCGTGGTCCTTCAGCATCCCTGGGTAGCGGCTCCCAGCCCGCTCTATCCGCAGCGAGCGCCGCACTGGCGTCAGGAATTTCAGGTCCTGCCCTTCCAGCAACTCCCTTCCTCTGCGGGGAGGACAAGAGCCTTCAGGTAAATCCTTGCTGGCAGGGGCAGGGGGTGCTCGCTGCCAGGAGCGGGCAGCTCAGCCTTACCTGGTTGCAGACGTCACTTGTAACTTGACTGAGACGGGCAGGCTCGTCCCGGACCTCCCGGCCAGGCAGGGAGTCGCTGCCGCGTGCTGCGTCTCCCTCGGGCAAGGCACTGTGGGCTCCCAAGGAACGGGCTGCTTGGCCTTTTCCCCTGGTGGGAGAGGGAGAGGGCAGCGCGGCTGAAGAGGGGGCAGAGCGCGGCAGCCGGGGAGGGGTTACAGCACCGCGGCGCTCCGGACGCGGGCGAGGGCACCTTGCTGCGGTGATGGCCGGGACCGTGCCCAGCCCTGGCAGGGGAATCTTGCCCCATTTTTGAGGTCAGGATTCTGGACTTCTCCATCAAAGTCAACAGGACACAGGGCGCTGGGACAGACGGCAAACCATGCGGCTTCCCTGCCTGCAGCGGCAGGGAACGCCAGCCTGCCCACGCTCTGGCCTGCCAGCCAACCCCCCCACGTTACCTTCTGATGTTTGGTCTGCAGCCTTCAAAATATCAAGGACAACTTCTCTGAGCTCCTGGAGCGGCTGCAGGAAAAGCAGAACGTGGGTCAAGGCAGGCCTGACTCGGGAACGGAGACTGGAGTTACAACTGAATAGGAGAAAAGGCTTTTGCTGCATCGCGACAGCCCGTGCTGGAGATGGCGGCAAAAGGCTGCAGATTTCCCTTCTCCAAGCGCGATCTGTCGGCACGCAGGCATGGCTGGGCAGGTGTCTAAATCCCACCAGATGCCGCAGTTAGGCCGCCCAGACCGGCACAGAGCTGCCATCGCTTCCAGCCACGGCTCCGACACGGCGCAGGGCGCGCGTCCTCCCCCGGCCCTGTTCCTGCCCGCGCGGCGCTGCCCGCTTGGCTGGTTAAAGCCAAAGCTGTTTCTGTGGGACACAACGGGACCGGCAGCTCTAAACGGCTTTTTCACCAGCAACTAGTGCTGCTAAACTCATCCCAAAATCCAACCCCTAGATCTTGAGGAAACCTGCTGGCGCAGGGGCAGGGAATACAGGGAGCTGCTGAAGAGAAGCGCGCCTCGCTCACCACGGCGCCAGCGCAGACTGCTGCTTTGTACAACCCCGCCACGTCAAAAGGGCCGCTCTGGGCGAGGAGTTTCGCTTTGCAGATCCAGAACTTGGCAAATTTCTCTGCCTGGGGCACGCGGGACAGCACCGCAGAGAGCTCCTCTTCCTGGACGCCCTGCGAGAAGGACAAGGTGCCGGGGAAAGGTGTCAATCGCGAGGGCCAGCGGCGTGCGCTGGGGGAGCTGCCAGTGCGTAACCGCCCTCCCAGCGCTCTCTAGGAAAAGGAGCCTCTGAAGAGGCTGGTTTTTGCAACTCTCCTACGCGACCATGGACACATAACCGCTTTCCTGCCTCTATTTTCCCCGTGGTGAAACGGGTCGAGTATTTCAGAGGGATGTCAAGGGATAGGCTCTTCAGCACTGGCGCTAACGGAGCCCCTAAACCCCGGAGCAGGGCCAGCGGTCAGCACGGCGAGGTGATGCTGCGCGGTCCATTGGGGACGTATCTCAGGCTGGCGCAATCAGCCAGGGCTGCTGCCGCAGACATTACTGCTGCAGCCGGCACTGCCGGGTACCAGGACGCTGGCAATGACGCAGGCAAGCCCCATGGCTGGCCATCGCTCCGTTTCCCCTGTGAACGCATCCCACACGCCTTTGGCCTATCCGTAACTCTGTGAGGACTTTTACTTTTCCTACACGTGATGTTACCCCGCTGGCAACTGCAGCCAAGTGAGCAAGAACGCTTGCTCCAAACCCTGCTGTGCTGCTGGGGGGACGTGGCCCTCCTCTCCCGGGATGCTCCAGGAGAAGAGGAGCCCGTTCGAGCAGCTCTTTTCCCATTCCCACCTCCTCAACGAGCTTCAGGCACTCGGTTAATACGTTGTTGATATGCTCCAGGCAGAGCTGCTCTGGTTTCTCTTGCTTCTCTTTCTCCTTGACGTTTGTCTGGGACAGCTTCACTGGCTTTTTCTGAAGCAGCATCATAGGCGGCCGCTTGTACGTCTTGCCTTTGGACGCCAACCACTCCTCCAGCTGTTTCCTGCCAAAGGACCGAGGGATCGCCATTACCACCCCAGCAGCGCGCCAGCACTTGCCAGGCTGATGTTTTCCCTTGGAATCTGCCTCTGGCCCACGTCAGCTGCTCAGGAAGAACCGGTACCTCTATCCTAAAAATGCATCCGAGCTCTAGGCTGGGAAAGGAAAAACCTCTCAAGCTTAAGCGTGCCTTGAAGATAAAACAGGAGAGCGGCCGCACGCTCTCCTCCCGCTAGCTGAATCGGCGGGAGAGGAACCCAGGGTACCACCACACCTCCTCCCCACCCTCCTCTTGTCTGGGGCATCAACCTCCAGACAGATGCTTGCCGATAAGGGGACTTTGGACCCCATTTTCAGCAGGTTGGCACTGGTTCACCCTGTTAAACACTTTAAACTCTGCTGTCCCCTGGAGGCGAGACAGAGTCGGCCAAAGCTGCTACTTACTTACGATCCGCAGCCGACGGGGTCTTGGGAACGCGCCTAGCCTGTAGTCCACTTGCCTCTGCTTTAAGCCTCTCTCTCCTACTCCTAAAATCGCTCTCAATTGCTTGAGTTCTGGAGCCGTGTACGCGGCGAGGCTGGTTTTGGGGGACTGTCACTCGGGACGCTGCCGCGCATCCGGGAGGCACCACCTTCGCGTCCTTCCTACCCGCCTCCCCTTTAGCCTCAGGCCTTTGCCGCTGCACCGTGCCGCCCGGTTTCAGGCTGGGTTTTGGGTTTGTGGTCCCCTGGGGCCTGCTGGAGGCTGGGGGCTTTGCGGGAGGTCTCTGCAGCTGGGGGGGTCTGCTGTGGGGCTTAAGACCTCCCGCTGGAAGCATGCCGAGCGGCTTTTCTATCATTTTCCTTGCCGTATTAGTTTTTTCCTGGTTTGGCCCTGGTTTTTTATGTAGCAAATTAGTAGAACCGGTAATTAACTGAGGGCGCTGCAGCGGCTGAGTTTTGATGCTTGGTTTTTGAGGTGCGCTCTTTGAGCCTGGCAGGGTTTTCCTGAATTTATCCTGAATCGGCTCTTCCTTAGCCTGGCGGCTATTAATTCTGTCCTTTGGGCCCGTGACGGTTCTGGATGCCGTGGCTGAGCTTTGCCTGTGAGCCAAGGCTCTCTTGTTCCCGAGACTGTTTCCATCAGGCTGCTGAACTCTCTTCAGCCCAGGGTGCGTAGAGGCTTGTGCTCGGACATTTTCTTTGTCCTGCAGACCCTCATTTAGGGAGCAAGGTGCCCCAGGAGCGGGGTGGTCGCTTCCAGTCCGAGGTGCTGCTGCGCTGACGGTCTCCCGTGCAGGCTTCTTGCTCCTTTCTGGATCGAGGTGACCGGAGTTGGACGTTGGGAGCCTCCCTCTGGGCTGCGCAGAGTGGCTCCTGCTTGGCACAAGCCCCTCGGGAAGCTTTGCGCTCTGCCTCGGCGGCTCTGGACGCACCACCACTGCTCTCTGGGATGCATTTGAAGACTTCTGCTGAGCAGCGTGGCCAGCGTGCTGCGTGGGTTTGGCACCAAGCTTGCCATCCCTCTGAGCTCCCTTCACCATGTTTCTGACGACATCCTTCTTGTTCCTGTCGACCTGGAGAGACAAAGCGAAACTCAGCCCCGGGGAGAGCTCGGCTCAGTCAGACACCGGCAGCTCGCTCCTGCCCCAGCCCGGCTAGCCCAGGGGACGTCCGCGCGAAGGCCTGCGCTGGCAAAGCAGCCGGCAAGAGAGCAGTAACGCAGCGCCCGCCCGCGCGTGGGCAGAGGATGAGTCTCCCACGCCAAGTCCCTCTGAAAAATAATTAGTTGACTTATTGCCAGCTATTTGGCAATCTGTTGACTGCACCCCGTCGGGGTCAGGCACTCGCTGCCCTGATCTGGGTACCCGCACTTCAAGCACGACATACAAAACTAGACTCAAAAGATTTCTACTTACGCACTCTAGTTTAGAAACTGGCTCTAGGGGTGGATTCGGGCAATTCGTCCGGTCCTTTAGAAAGGGTCTGTAGGAAGTGGAACGAGATAGTGGGTTATTTAGCAGCTGTTGCAGGAAAGGTGAAATATCTAAAACGCTGCTGGGTGTCTCAGTCACAGCAGCTTACGAGAAGCTTTGGAAATCAAAAAGCTGCCAAGGAAGTACCACATAATATTAATTGCTTTTCTTTTGCGTGGCAACAGAAAAGCAACACAGCGCATTGACATCCAAGGCTGTCACAAAACTTAGGGCTTCCAGTGACACCCGGAGTAACCAGGGTGGTTCCTGCAGGCGGGGGTTTGCTCTGCCACAGCGAGCCGCAGCGCTGCGGCGGGCGGGTGACGGGGCCCCCGGCTGCCCCGGCCCAGGCCGCGGAGGGGGGGGGGGGGGGGGGGGGCCCGGGTTTTTTTTGGTTTTCTCCTGCCCACGGGGAGCCGCAGCGCGGCGCCGGCCGATTGACGAGCCCCTCGGCTGCCCAGGCACAGGCAGCGAAGTGGGGAGGTGGGGCGGCAGCCCTGGCTGTCGGCTCCCCGTCCTCTCCTCCTCCTCCTCCCTGAACTGGAGCCCTCTGACAGCAGCCAGCTGCGGGCTTCTCCCACCGCTCCGCTCCGGAGCTGGCAGCTCAGCCGTTAGGGAAGATTACTGCCTGTGCAGATATTTTTCTGTAATGAAAGAGCCCAGAGAGGTAGTGTGTTGTCCTCTATTCTATAGAAGTGGTGTACTACGCCCTAAAGAAAGATCATGAATCTTCTCTCCTTGTTTCTGTTACATTAGTGGTATTTTCTGGAGCCTGGCACCAGGGACTGGTTTGCTCTTTCTGCTCTGATCCTGCTTCCCTTTATCTTCTCCCCACGGAGAAGTTTTATGGCTTCCTTTGCACTACAATGTCATGAGAAATACTCACTGCAACGGGGAGTCTTTCAAGTGTTCAGGTTTGCCAAGCACATCAGCGGTTTCAGCTGAAGGCTTTGCAGAAAGGTGCCTCGCTACTCATCTGCTGCGCTCGCGGCAGCGTATCTGCACGCAGCCCGGCTCCGGGGAACCGAGCAGGGCGGCGAAGGGGGCCCAGAGCCAGGTAACTCATTTAGCAGGTGGTTGTATCTATTTCCTTTGAAACGCGCTGAAAATGCCCCTTCCTAATCTTAACCTGTCCCAGAGGGCCACTGAAAGCTGCCATTAAAAAGCAGCAGTGAGACTTGAAACACCCTTTCTTCGAGACCCAGTTACCAAGCCGAGTTGCCAGCAAAAAGTCCTGTTCAGACCCAAGAGCTGAGCTGAGAAAGTTTCATGGAGACTCAGAAAATACCCAGAAGAGACAATGTCAACCAGCAGGAACCATCAGCACTCAAACCATCCCTTTGCCCCTGCAGCCAGTAACTCTACGGGGTGCTGCGGGGCAGAGCCATCCCCAGTCGCTGCCCCGACAGCGAGGCGCTGGGAGGAGGCGATTCTCTGTACGCTAGCGAGCCGCTGCGGAGGGAAGGCAGAGCCTGGCAAGCCGGGAAGGCAGCTTTGCTTCAGGGAATCGCCAAGTGATCTGGGTCGGAAAGGAGCTTCACAGGTCACCCAGTCCAAGCCCAGCGTTCTCCTGACTTACTTTGCACTCTGACATTTCAGCTTTTCTTTGGCTGCTAGGTACTCCTGGAGCCGTCTTCTCTGCTCTTCTGCAAAGAGATGGTAGGAAAATGCAGCGCGTGCACCACAGCCTCGGTATTTGGCGCGCCGATAAGGATGGATTTCTTTGATGTTCACAGCATTACCGTGCAGGTCCCCGTGCTCCCCGCCCAAGCCTGGCAATGCTGTTCCCAGAAATTCCCAGAGCGTTTCCACGCATGCGATGCTGCCCAGCGGCTGGTCGGCACGTAAAGACCAGGGCTCCCTGATGCTCGCGGCGTGATGCCACCCAAAACCTCGGTTGTATGGGGCTTAGTCAATTTGCAGAAGGAAAGGGGAGATGCTGCCGATGACCCTCCGTACCCCGTCAGCCTGCACCCCGCTGTGGGCGAGCCCTCTGCTAGCAGGGGCGGGTGGGAAGAGCGAGGAGCAGCTCAAGGCGGGAGGCAGGGCATACCTCTGCCACCCCCAGTTTGGCTGAGGGCTGTGGTACCGGGGCATCTTACAGCAGGGACAGCCCGGCCTGGCTGGAGCCCAGCATCGCCCCGGCCCCAGGGCCTCGCCCCTGCCCCCCACCTGATGC